ATCTATCTATCTATCTATCTATCTATCTATCTATCTATCTATCTATCTATCTATCTATCTATCTATCTATCTATCTATCTATCTATCTATCTATCTATCTATCTATCTATCTATCTATCTATCTATCTATCTATCTATCTATCTATCTATCTATCTATCTATCTATCTATCTATCTATCTATCTATCTATCTATCTATCTATCTATCTATCTATCTATCTATCTATCTATCTATCTATCTAATCTATCTATCTATCTATCTATCTATCTATCTATCTATCTATCTATCTATCTATCTATCTATCTATCTATCTATCTATCTATCTATCTATCTATCTATCTATCTATCTATCTATCTATCTATCTATCTATCTATCTATCGATCTATCTATCTATCTATCTGTCTATCTATCTATCTATCTATCTATCTATCTGTCTGTCTGTCTTTCTGTTTATCTGTCAGTCTGCCTGTCTGTCCGTCAGTCTATCTGTCTGTCTGTCTGTCTGTCTGTCTGTCCGTCAGTCTATCTGTCAGTCCGTCAGTCTATCTGTCTGTCTGTCTGTCTGTCCGTGTGTATGTCTATGTCTTACATGATTACAAGATTCCTGAAATTAATCTTTGGGATTACCTACTTATATAAATTAGTACTAAAGGAAATTTCGAGTGTAAGTTAGCTACTAGCCTTTGACTAAGTTGCAAAAAACTAACACTGGCAATAAGTAAGCAAGTAATGAAAGTACTAGTAATACACATGAGTTTTCAAACAGATTTATGTGTGTAACCAAAAAATTACAAGTAACTGAGAAAAGTTAAGAGGAAAAGGAAATCGAATAAAAAGATATATACAACATATAGAGAAAAAAAACAATACAACAACAGAAAAACTGAAAACTATGTCACACGCCAACCTATAGAAAACAACATTATCAACATAGTACATACAGGGTAATTTTCAATGAAAAATAAGAGGAAAAACTTTTTCCATTTTGATTTTGCAAATTACTCAGAAGCCTTTAAAGTGTCGATGAAATGATTAGGAAAAAGACATTTTCATGTTGTAGCTTTTTTTTAACTTAAGCACTTTTAAATTTGTTTAAAAATAAAAAAAATGTTAGTGTTTTATTTCTTTTTTAGTTAATTTAAATTAGATATTTAACTATAAATCTTTAACAAAAAAAAAAAAAAAAATAAAATAAATTTAAATACACATACAAATTACAGGTATTTGTACGGTGACTGAACTCTTGACAATTAATGCGTTACGTTTATGTTTAGTTAAGCTTGTTTTATTTTTATTTATTTTCTAATTTATTTTGTTTAATTCTTTGCCATTTTCTATGTTATTTTATGTAACGGTGACATCTAAAACCATAAAATGTGTGTTTGCGCATGCGTGTGTATGTATGTCGTCAACAATCTACTATGAAACTCTATCAGCCATAATAAGTCTTTTCAAGTGTTTTTCTTTTTATAAATAGAAAAAATACACTCAACAAGTCTTTTTTTATAAAGAAGCTGGAATTAGGGATGCCAATCGGGACTGGTTTTTAGAAATCCCGATATCGGGATCCCGGGATTTTCGGGATTTCTAAATCCCGAAAAATATAAAAAAAAAAAATTCAAAAAATCTTAATAATTTACCGACAAAAATAAAATGTTTTATTTCATATAGCAATATGAATACTCTTAGTAGGTGTTTACTTTCCAATAAGCATTTTGTGAAAAGAAAAACAAATTAATTCAAAGTACATACTTAGAATAAAAATCTTTCCATCCCAGGCACTGAATAGTAGAATAAAAACCTGAAATAATACCCATGATATCCAAATTTACAATGGTTTCCAAATAATATTTAAATAGTATGTGTAATGGGGATCCATACGAGGCTAAATAGAGCACCTGTACTGCACCTATATCTCCTCCACCTTATATCCCCTGTTCACTAACCAAGGGAATTATCTTCTCGCCATCTTATTGACAGGTTGACTTCCATTATAGATATCCGATAGTATCAATGCCTATTTATTGCCCTTTTTATACCCTTAGTAGGGATGGTATATTGGGTTTCTCCGGAGTAGTGCTTTTGTTTTATACTCTCCTAAAATACGCTGATGAAATTTGAAATGATCGGGCTTTTGATCCGAGCCCCCATACAAAACACAGCTTTAAAAAAGAATTAGTGTCCCCAATTCGCTTAAAAAGAGAACTGTCGCAATGAAATTCAGCATAAAACATTTTATGTAACCGTAAATTCGCCCTCCAAATTTTATGAGGATCGACTCATATGATGGCGTCCTTCCCCCAAGCATATTTCAGAAAAATAGTTTTTTAACAATAAAGTGCTAGAATATATCGGAGGCGAGGTATACTTTTATTATGAAAACTAAATTACATTTTACTCTCATAACTGGTGTATGGGGTTATATGGTCGGCCTCGCCCGCCTATAATTTCGTACTTGTTATTTTTATATATCCGATAGTATCTATGCCTATTTAGTATAGCAATGAAATTTGATATTCGTAAATCCCTGACGAGCCAAAACCTCTCTACCAAATTTTATGTTGGTCGGTTCATAATTGACCCTACCCCCATATAAGGTCCCGTTAAAAAAATGACTTTAACGCTCATTACTGGCTTAAAAATACGAGTATAGCGATGAAATTCGATACACATATGTTTCATGCGAGTCAAAATCTCTCTACCAAGTTTTATGTGTTTCGGTCCATAATTGACCCTACCCCTACATAAGGTCCCATCCAGATAAATACTTTAACGCTCATTACTGGCTTACAAGTACGAGTGTGAGATGAAATTTGAGATAAGTAAGTTTCTTACTCGCCAAAAGCTAAGAAACTTTTATAGGAACGTAAATCTTCCTACCGGAAAGTGTATGAACCAAAATTGGTCTAAAAAAATTATGAAAAATTTTATAAAAACGGTCAATGATTCACCCTACCTCTCATATAAGGTCCTATCAGTAAATTTGATGAGTAATATCACCCTGATGTTTATAGAAAAGCATATTCGGCATAGCCGAATATAGCACTCTTACTTTTTTTTTGATATTTCAGCTTGTAAGTTAGTAGAGTCATCTTAAGTCCAAAAACTTTTTAAATTCTCTTATTTAGTACTTTATAATGTATAAAATAGCGGAAAAATACTTAAAAATTCGGGATTTTAAAATCCCGAAATTTCCCGGGATTTCATTTTTTAAAATCCCGGTTTTCGGTACTTTCAAATCCCGAAAATCCCGGAATTTTCGGGAAACGGGAATTCCCGTTTGGCATCCCTAGCTGGAATGGATGACCAACCATTCTTTAGAATTTTTAACGTTTTCTTTATGTAAAATTGCACTCTGCTAGATAAATAATTGTTTACATATGTCAATAATGTACAATATTAAAAAAAACTTAAATTACTTATTTAAAGCTTAATGTCAAATCGCGAAATTTAAGTTTTATTTCAAATTTTTATAATATGTACATTATGTAAAAAATGTAAAAAATGGCATTTTTTGGGTAAAATGCGTAAAAAAAAATTATGTAATATAATAAAACATTTAAACTGTCTTTTACATTATGTAAAATATGTAAAATATTGGAGTTTGGAAATATTTTACCTAGTGTAAATAATGTAAAATACTATGGAAGGTGTTTAAAATAAAGTTAATATTACTAAGCCAAAAGTAAAACGTGTCAAAAATGTTATTTTCTATTGTTTACATTTGGTAAAATATGTAAACAATATAAAAAATATCCGAAACTAACAACAAATTATAAGAAATACTACTTTACTTGGTGTCAAATATGAAGAATTGAATATTTTACACAGGGTAAAATATGTAAACAATGTAAAAATTTAGTAAAATGTACAAAAATTACATAAATATTATTATATTTAAAGTACAAAGGTGTAAACAATATTTTATTCAATATTTACATTTTGTAAAATATGTAAAATTTATTTATTTGATTGTTTACATTTTGTCAAAAATGTAAACAATATAAAATATAGTAAAAAAACAAAAAAATATATGAAAAATTATTTTACATTTTACGTGCAAAATATGTAAAATTTATTTGTTTGATTGTTTACCTTTTGTAAACTACGTAAAATATAGTAAAAAAAACAAAAAATTATATAAAAAATTATTTTACGTCGTGACAAATATGTAAAATGAAATATTTTACATTATGTAAACAATGTAAAAAAATTAGTAAAATGTACAAAAATTACATAAATATTATTATATTTAAAGTACAAGGGTGTAAACAATATTTTATTCAATATTTACATTTTGTAAAATATGTAAAATTCATTAAATTGACTATTTACATCTTGTAAAACATGTAAACTATATAAGATATAGGAAAAATACAATAAATTATATGAAATATCATTTTACGTCGTGTCAAATATGTAAAATGAAATATTTTACATTATGTAAACAATGTAAAAAAATTAGTAAAATGTACAAAAATTACATAAATATTATTATATTTAAAGTAAAAAGGCGTAAACAATATTTTATGCAATATTTACATTATGTAAAATATGTAAAATTTATTTATTTGATTGTTTACATTTGGTCAAAAATGTAAACAATATAAAATAAAGTAAAAAAAACAAAAAGTTATATAAAAAATTATTTTACGTCGTGTCAAATATTTAAAATGAAATATTTTACATTGTGTAAATAATGTAAAAACAATTGTAAATTGTATGAAAATGTGTAAACACTAGTTTATTCAATATTAACATTTTGTAAAATATAACAAAATCTCTAACATAGTTTACACATTATTTTACATGCAGTAAAATATGTAAAATTTGCCTTTTTATTGACTTTTACATACTGTAAACAATTAATTTTAATCCCCTCTTACTATTCTATTCTTTACATTACTCTCTTACTATTCTTTACATTACACAGTTTTTCGACAGCAAAGATACTAAAACCTACGTAAAGTAAATTATTAAAAAAAAATCGTTTACATACCTTGGTATGCAAGAATGCCAGACTCTTGTTAACATTTTCAATTTTATGTACACGCATACGTCCATTATTAGGTTTTCCCAGCTTTTCACCTGATATTATTTCAAGTAATTTCAGCAATTTGACACCATCCGCTAAATCTGTAAAAAGGTCTTCGACCTCCATTTTTGCCTATATAAATGGGATAGAGAGAGAAAGAGAATTAGAATAAATCATGAAATTTGATCAAACTGTCATTCTTTTTCTTTTCAATTAAATTTGCATTTCCGTTACATTATTTTTCTTTTCACATTAGATTGTATTGTTATTGTTATTGTTATTTTGTACTTGTACTTACTTTTACAAGAAATGAATTCATCCATTTTGTAAAGGTTTTCTTTTGTATGTGTAAACGTTCTTCTTGTAGGGTTTTAATTCTTTCATTTTCGAATTTCATAATACCATCGCGTTGTGTCATGTTGGCTGAATTACGGCTGGTTTGTGTCTGTAATGAATAACCGCCCGGTTCATATTGTGATGCTGGAAAAGATTGAAAAGAAAATATATGAGAGATTAATATAACTGCATTATAAAGTTTTCTATTAATGTGCGAAAACTAGGGCCCAGACATTATAATGTAGACTATAGGCTCTACTATAGTTGAAGCCATGATCCAGACTAAAGCCCACATTATAGGTTAAACTAGAATATAGAGTCGATTAGAGTCCGGACTTTTGACTAGACTACTGTCTGTACTATAGACTAGAATGATACTATTATATGTACCAAACTATAGACAGATTATAGTCCACACTATAGACTAGACCAGCTTATAGACTAAGCTATACCAAAGACCATAATCCCTCATGATTACGTTATACTTTTTCAAGTGCCTATTTAATATCTATTTTATATAAAAAAAATATTATTATCATAGGACAACAACAATCACCAAATAAATACAAAAAAAAAATACTAGTGAGGTAATATTCTATTTGTATATAGTTTTAGCGATAAATTTCGTAAAGAAATATTGTTTGTGACATATAAACATTGCGCATACAAGTTTCTATGTAATTCAAAATGAGTGTTAGTTTTTCTTTCAAGTTACCAAGTACGTTTAATTTCAAGGTCCACACCAAAAGCTAAGGGGTTCCTAAATGTATTTTTCTTTAACTCAAAATTAAAAGACTCTATTTCTTATCATCACATAACAAATTAAGCATTTGTTTAAAGGTTTTTCTATGCACTGATTACAATGTGGAATTTTTCAAAGTTTATGTCAAAGTAATTTGAAAAAAACAAAAACGAAAAAACAACAAAATATTTTGATAATAAAAACAAAAGAAGTAAATTTAGATAAAACATAAAGAGGGGATTTACTATAATTAATACCAATGATTTAAAAGAATGGTATGCAATTTTCGGTTAGTTAGTACAAAGGTTAAAGTATTTCTGTAGTGATTTATTACAGATAATACAGATTGATGACCTTGACAAGACTATATACTAAACTATAGTCAAGACTATAGATTAAACTAAAGTTAAGACTATAGACTATTCCGTAGTCCAGAAAAAACTATGGTACAGACAAAATTATAGTCCAGAATATAGACAAAGCTATAGTTCAGACTATAGACTAAACTATAGTCCAAACTATAGACTAAACTATAGCCCAGATTATAGACTAAACTATAGTACTGATTATAGACTGAACTATAGTACTGACTATAGTCCAGACTATAGACTTAACTATCGTCCAGACTATATATATACTAAACTATAGTCCAGACTATAGACTAAACCATAGTCTATATTATATACTATATATACCATATTATAGAGTAAACTATTAACTATAGACTAAACTATAGCCCAGACTATAGACTAAACTATAATTCAGATTATTGAATTAAATACCGTCCAGACTACAGACTAAACTATAGTTCAGACTATAGGCTAAACTATAGTATAAACTATAGACTAAACTATAGTTCAGATTATAGAATTAACTACAGTCTAAATTATAGATTAAACTGTAGTTCAGACTATAGACTAAATAGTCTGGACTACATATTAGTCTATAGACTAAGCTATAGTCAGGCTATAGAATAAACTATAGTCCAGACTATAGAATAAACTGTAGTCCAGACTGTAGAATAAACTATAGTCCAGACTATAAACTAAACTATAGTCTAGACTATAGACTAAACTATAGTCCAGACTATACCTAAACTATAGTCCAGACTATACCTAAACTATAGTCTAGACTATAGACTAAACTATAATCCAGACTATAGACTAAACTATAGTCCAGACTATAGACTAAACTATAGTCCAGACTATAGACTAAATTATAGTTCAGACTATAGACTAAACTATAGTCCAGACTATAGACTAAACTATAGTCCAGACTATAGACTAAACTATAGTCCAGACTATAGACTAAACTACAGTCCAGACTATAGACTAAACTATAGTCCAGACTATAGACTAAAATATAATCCAGACTATAGATTAAACTATAGTCTAGACTATAGACTAAACTATAGTCCAGACTATAGACTAAACTATAGCCCATACTATAGACTAAAATATAATGCAGACTATAGATTAAACTATAGGCTAGACTATAGACTAAACTATAGTCCAGACTATAGACTAAACTATAGTCCAGAGTATAAACTAAACTATACTTCAGTCTATAGACTAAACTATAGTCCAGACTATAGACTAAACTATAGTCCAGACTATAATCTAAACTATAATCCGGACTATAGTCCGAACTATAGTCCAGACTATATCTAAACTATAGTCTAGACTATAGACTAAACTAAAGTCCAGACTATACCTATACTATAGTCCAGACTATACCTAAACTATAGTCTAGACTATAGTTTAGTCCAGACTATAGACTAAACTATAGCCCAGACTATAGACTAAAATATAATGCAGACTATAGATTAAACTATAGGCTAGACTATAGACTAAACTATAGTCCAGACTATAGACTAAACTATAGTTCATACTATAGACTAAACTATAGATTTAACTATAGTCCAGACTATGGACTAAAATATACTTCAGTCTATAGACTAAACTATAGTCCAGACTATAGACTAATCATTAGTCCCTGACTTGCCTCATTTGAATACAATATTCCGTAAATATATTTATTTGATCTGGGACATTATAGTTTTAAGATTAATTTATAAAAAATATTGAAATCTGTAAAAGAAAAAGAACAAAAAAACTAGGTGCTATGGTTCTAATTGAAAAAGCGTGCTTGATATTATAAATAGTACATCTCATTTTATTCACAGACTTTTATTACAACTTGTCAAGTTTATTTGGGGTTAATCACCTGTTATTTTTAACACTTTGATTCAATAATAATTGTATTGTATTCGTTTCATTTCTTTTGCTTCATAGTATTTGTTTGATTAAAACTGTGTAAAGTGTAAAATAAATAAATATTGAAAAAATTAGATTAGATAATATTACTGATATAATTCACTAAAAGAGTAAATTCAATGTGAAATCAAACAAATTCGTCATCAATATTAATAATTCTTTCAAAAATTTATCTATAGTTATTAAAACAATGTCATTTCGAATAAACTTTGACGTGGGTAAAATATGAAAATGAAATTTGCAATAATTAATAGAATTAATTAAACAGAATTTTATGTGATTTTGTTTGATCTAACAAATATTTGTAACAGCAAACAAAGTTAAAAACAGAAATAGTGGTCGTAATCAAAGCATAAGAGATTTAGTCAAGTCAAACTAAAATATTTAAATTTATTTTACTTTTATTCTATTAAAAATCTTTTTTTCTTTCTAAAGTTTTAGGATTTAAAGTGTATATTTTAGAAATTTGTTCTATTTAAGATTGTGGTTTAAAATTTTAACGAAAACGTAACAATTATATATAGAACTTTATTTGCGGTAAATTACTTTTATGGAGTATTATACAAAACAAATACTGCTGATAATATTAATTAAAAATATTTGTGTTAAAAGTAAATATTTAATAAAAAAATAATACATTTTAACAATAACAAGGAGTATTGCTCATTATTATTGTTTTTCACTTCTAAGGCAGCTGCAATTTATAATACTCATTAATTTAGCAATTATAATAAATATATATTTATTTATAATTTTTATTAAAAGTTAAATATTTAGTCAAAAAAAGTTAAAAATAAAAATTTTGTAAAAGATTTTAAAACTCGAATTCATTCAGCAAAAACAAGATAATTTTAGTTAGCTTTACAAAATATGGTTAAGACAACTAAATCAGTTAGTTGTAGAGACAATAACAGATACAATGCTCATTTTCATTAATTCTGCCACAAAACATAACAAAAGCTTAAAGAAAACAAAGCAATTTTATTTTGCCTTTATAAAATATTGTAAACACAACTAAATCAAATAGTTGTAGTGACCATAAAATCAACATTTTCATAAATTCTTCCACAAAACAAACAAATTTGATCTCGAAATATTTTATAAATTAAAACTTGAGTTTAAATTTTATTAAAATAAAATTAAAGTTATTACTTTTATTCTAACCACATTTGTTTCTAACGGAAATTCCTATTAATTAAATGATGACTTAATTATAAAATTTCTCATACAATGTTTACATTTGAAATGTACGTAAAATATCATATTTTATCAAATGTCTTGTTGTGTAAAAATAATAAAAAAAAAAACTAGCAATAAAATTAAACTACTTTAAAATTGAAATGAAATTAAAAATACAAACATTTCAAATACTAATTCTTGCGTAATAAAAAAAATAAATATAATTGATAAGAGAGACTGAGAACCCAATGTATATTTTAATTTACACTTCATATAAAATTCAATTCATAAATTTTGTGTACGGAAGAAAATGAAATATTGTCACATGGCTACACTGTTGCCGAAGAAAAATTTAATTAATTGTAATTTTAAAAATTTATTTAAATTTTTTAAAAAATTCTATTAGGAGTAGAAATACAAGAAATAGCGATATTGGGATATTAACGTTGATTCTGTTTGCTTTAGTTTGGGAAAAACTGTATCGTTTCATGCCAAGCTTTGGTAAAAGTATAGTGAAGACTTTAAATCAGAGTTAGGCAAAAGAGCTCTCTTGAAAACCAACTAAAATCATTCAAAGAACTCACTTGTCACTCTTTGCCTAAATTGCTCCATATATTAGCTCTTTTGTTCTAGTTTAGTTCTAGTTCAGTTCTAGTTCAGTTCTAGTTCTAGTTCAGTTCTAGTTCAGTTCTAGTTCAGTTCTAGTTCAGTTCTAGGTCTGTTCAGTTCTAGTTTCAGCTTCTAGTTTCAGTTCTATTTTATTTTCTAGGTTTCGCTTCTCGTTAGTTTCTAGTTATTTCTAGGTTTCAGTTTCTAGTTCAGTTCTAGTCAGTTTTCAGTTCAGTTTAGTTCAGTTCTAGTTCAGTTTAGTTCCAGTTGCTAGTTCTAAGTTCCAGTTCCTAATTCTAGTTCAGTTCGATTCAGTTCTAGTTTCAGTTCTAGTTCAG